TAGTCAAAGGAGAAAGAAAAATCTTCCATGACATAAATAGGTTGAAAGAATTCATGTCCACAAAACCAGCCCTTTAGAGAATTCTTGAAGTAATACAAAAAGCTGAAGAAAGGAATGACTATACTCAAGGGGTAACCGAAAAAAACTTAATGAAAGTATAACTGTGGAAACGCACAGTTACACCAAGAATCCGAACAGAAATCAAAACCACAGGAATCAATACACACATCTTTCATTAATAACTTTAAATATCAATGGACTGAACTCCCCAGTCAAAAGACACAGACTAATTGAATGGATTAAGAAACAAAACCCATCTTTTTGTTGTCTACAAGAAACCCATCTCATTTTCAAGGACAGGCACTTAAGGTGAAAGGATGGAAAAAAATATTCCAAGCAAATGCTACTAAGAAAAAAGCAGGAGTTGCAATTCTAATATCTGACAAAAAAGACTTCAAACTAAAACTAATCAGAAGAGATAAAGGGGGCCACTTCATTCTGATCAAAGGAACAACTGACCAAGAAGATATTAAAATCATGAACATATATTCACCAAACTCTGGTGTACCCAACTTCATAAAAACAGTACTATAGGACTACAAGACCCAGATTAACCCCAAATCATTAATAGTAGGGGACTTCAATACCCCACTATCTCCATTAGATAGGTCAACAGGCCAGAGACTTAACAGAGAGACATCTGAATTAAACAAAACCATATCTCAAATGGACTTAACAGATATCTACCTAGTATTCCACCCAAACACCAAAGGACATACTTTCTACTCAGCACACCGTGGAACTTTCTCCAAAATCGACCATATACTGGGGCACAAAACAAAGCTCAGCAAATACAAAAAGATTGAAATAATACCATGTGTTCTATCAGACCACAATGCAATAAAGCTTACAATCAACACCCAAAGAAGACAAAATCATGACACGAACACATGGAGATTAAACAACACACTCCTGAATGATGAATGGGTCAAAAGAGAAATTAAGAAAGAAATAAAAGTATTCCTGGAATTAAATGAAAAGGACAATACAACACAACAAAACCTCT